GAAAGTGCAATGATAGTTGGCAGAGGCCTGGAGAGGAGAACTGTGAAGTCGATGTTCCATGGTTAGAGTGTTTCATTTATTCAAGACACATAAGTTCTAGAGATCTGCTTACAACCTTGTGCCTAAAGTTAACAATACTATACTGTACACTTAACCTTGTGTTATGTGTCTTTTTCACCACAAGGCGAATGAATTTGAATCTGTTATTCACACCATAGGTAAAAATCAACTCAAAATAGGAAAAAAAAAAGCCTAAACATGAAAGCTTAAACAATATGTTTAAAAAAACATATGGGTAAATTTTTATGACCTTTTATTTCAGAATGGTTTCTGAGGTATGAAACAACAACAAAAAAATAGAAAACTTAGACTTTATCAAGATTAGAAATTTTTGTGCATCTTAGGACACTTTCAAGAAAGTGAAAATACAACCTATAAAATCGGAGAAAATAGTTCCAAATCATAATCTGATAAGGTTTTGCTACACAGAACACATAAAGAATTTATACAGAGCAAGATTGCACAATAGGAAAGTCCCAGCCTCCTTCCTCCAACAGAAACATCAATAAAAAAAAAAAGATATTTGGGTCCAAACAACTTTATGAGTGCTTCAGAATCCAGTTAAGAAGTTGCTACATCTCAGAGGAGCACAAAAATAAGTATAAACTGCTATGAAATGGGTAAGAAGAACAATTTCATATTATCCTTGACAGTGCTTCTCCATCAAGCCAGCACGGCTCAGCACCAAGAGAGATCCACTTGGATCCTGATTTCTACCCCCAAGAGAAAGAGAAAATGCAGCATGTACCTGATATCACCAACCTTGTGGGGCACCACCCAAGAGACCTAATTCTGTCTCACATCACTCAGAGACAGAAGCAACCCATATTGCTACACTTTCTAGGGGGCAGTAAAGAACAAAGAAAAGGGGTGAGAGTCTTAAAAGACTGTCCAGGTCTCCCAGATTGAGAGAGGGTGCACACTACTGAGACTTCTCCTCCAGGAAGAAGAGAGAGAAGTGGAGGTTGCACCCAGCCTCCCAGCATTCCAGCACATTCCCCCAGGAAAAGGGTTGAGTGGCTCTCAGCAGCCTGTGTGGTGCTTCAAGATCCAGAGAATGTGCACGATCCTCAGACTTCTATTTCAAGGTAAAAAGAAAGAAGTGGAGCTCGCACCCAACATCGTAGTATCTCAGTGCACTGTCCTAGAGAGAAAGGGCAGGAGGTTCGCATGGTTCTGTGAGATTAAGGTGTGCGACGATGAGACTTTTCTCTCCAGGAAAGAAGGACAGCAGTGGAGTGTGCATCCAATATCTCACTCAATCAGTGCACTGCTCTGAAGAAGAGGGAAGGGTGGCATATGGCGGCCAGCATACATATACCATGTAAAAAAAGTTAGACGTAAAATGTCACTGTCTTTGTCAGCTCAGGCAGCTATCACAAAATATCATAAATTGGATGGCTAATAAAAACAAATATTCATTACTCACAGTATGGAGGCTGGAGCCTGAAATCAGGGCCAGCCCTGATGAGAGTCCTCTTTTGGTTCCCAATGACTGCCTTCTCATTGGATCCTTCCATGGCAGAGAGCATAAATAAGCTCTCTAGAGACTCTTAAATAAGGATACAGATCATATTTATGAGGCCTTCACCCCCATGACCTCATCTAATCTTAATCTTACCTGCCAAAGTTCCCACCTTCTAATACTATCACATTAAGAGCTAAGGTTTCAACATATGAATTTTGGGGGAATACAATCATTCAATCCATAGCAGTCACATATTGTATAATTTCATTTATGTGATATATCTATAAAAAATAAATCAATAGAGCCTGAAAGCAGATTATTAGTTTTTACAAATGATGAGCCTTTTGCTTGACTTCTCCTTATCATTACTCTATTCATTCATTAAAATCTTTCACTGAGCCCCAGTTTTTTTCTAGATGTAAGCTTTTATTAGAGTAGAAATCAGAAATATTTTCGGTATTCATAGAACTTTTATTTTTCCAAGGAACACAAATGAAAGAAGTAAACACATGCAAAAATAAATATGCAATTATACATTTTGATCAAAATCTGAAGGAGAGTGTGGTAGAGTCAATATTGAGGGAGTCAGCCAATATAAATTTGTTCATTCATTGAGTTACGATTTCATTAGACGTTCTTGAATTTTTCTATGTAATCAATTTTTGACTAGATCCTGAGAATACAGACCTAAATGAGAAGACATCATTGATCTCAAAGGACTCACTATTCAGTAGTACAGCAACCATAAATGCAAACCAGTATAATTGCTAAGTTTTTCAATAGTTACGTTAATGTAAGGAATGTGCAAACCTGTAGAGAATTTTAATGAGTTTATTTGAGCCAAAGTGACAACTGCTGGAAAGCAAAATCTCAATGGATTAAGAAAATGCTCTGGAGAATGGAAGTTTTGCAGCTTTTATACATCGGAATCAAAAGAGGAGATGTAAGGAAGATTACCTGAAACCTATTGGTGGTAGATTAAGAGGGTGGGAGAAAGCAATGCAGGAAAATCTCTGAGACCGGATAAAAAGTAAAACAAAGAGACATATACAGGATAACAAATAATTAACATTTACTGCACAGAGAAATGGTATGAGGGGACAAAGTAACCATGAGGGGTTCTGTAGTCTGTGCTCTGGTGCAATGGGTTGTGCCCTGAGGGGTCTAGAATAAAGAAATTGCTCTGACATTCCAAGGGGATGTTATCTTAGACACATAAAGACAATAGACAGGCTCACTTAAGTTAAAGAATGACCTTTGTCAAGAAAGCGATAGGCCTAGGATGTGGTTAACTGCCATGACCTGCATTTAGTTAGGAATTTATATGTACAGACCATCCTATGTGGTTACTTTCGGTCTCTGAGTTTGTAGGGCCCTCCATGCAGGCTTCCCCTTGTCAGGTTTAGTATGTGACCCCTTTCTCATCCACAGTTATATGGAGAAGAGTGACAATATAGAGGACGAAATGAAAGGAAGATAGGGAAGGAAAAGGGAAAGAAAGGAAAGAAAATTTTTGAGCATCTATTCCATTTAAGGAACTGTGCTATATTCTGGCTTATTTAGTATACGTTCTGGTTTAATGCATATATAATTTTGTGAGGTAGGCATTATTTTCCCTTGTTGAAGCTCAGAACATTTAATTAATTTGCTTTATATCAAAATGCTTGCTGAAACAGAGTTCAAGTTGAGCTATTTTCTGTCTCTAAAACCTGTGCTAATTTAAATCGTGTCAGCATTTCAGTTACGATTTGGAGGTTGGGTGAAGATTCACAAGTAAACAATTGTGGAATTAAATTGCGTTAGAGCATTTTGACAGTTTTTTTTTCATTATATAGCCCCTCACTCTTGACTTATGGAAAACTTTCTATATTAGTTAGTGTAGATAATACTAGCAGCCACAAGCAAACTCCAATATTTCAGTGCCGGAGGTCATAGAGGGTGATTTTTGGAAATTAGTTGTTCTGTGGGAAACCATAGAGTGATTCAGTGACCAACGTTTTTTCTCTTTAGTGGTTTTGCCATCTTTTGTGTTCTGAATCTTCTCTATCCAGCTGATGACAAAGAATGAGAGTGAGCAGAGGATCACATGGAAGGTTTGACAAGAGACCTGAATTTATATGTACAGAAGCATATAAAACACAAAACCACGTCTCACATAAAATTAACAACGGTGGTTTGTTCATAAACTCACCACAAAGGAAACCATCTTTGGTCACTTTAATTTCAATGGAGTTCAAAGGTGTTAGAAAAGAGAGTAAATTTATTGAGTAGAATGAATAAATACTGAGTCATTGTATGGCTGGCAAAAGTTTTATTAAGATACAGTTTTTGGACGTGGGAGATACATTCTAACTGGTCTTCTTGTACCATCGTCAGTCATTGGTTGGCTGTAAGCAGGCAGGCAAACAGTCTGGAGAATTTCAAAAAGGGAAGGATTATTCAGGGTTAGGGATAGAGAGTTTTTTGAGACTGCTAATTTCCTCCAAGAAGTTGGAGTCTTTATCAAGTGGATTTTCGTTATATTCTCCCCGTGAAGTGTCTCGAGTTTCTGCATCTTACTTCTGCCCATAATTCTCAGTAAACTGATTTTTAAATAAAGGCTCAAGGCTTCATTTCCAGTGAAAGAACCAGATTAAGCTAATGTTCAAAGGGACTTTCCATTCAAGGTGAGGGAACTAGATGAACAGAGCTCAACGTTGGTAATGACTATGAAGAATGGAGCAGGTTTAGGACAAAAGTTCATGGGAGGAGAGTGACTATTTTATAAAGTAGTTCATGGAAGGCTTCTATGACTTTCCCGAGTGTAAAACATTTAACCAGCATCTGAAATGAGTGAGGGAATAATCTATGCAGAAGAAACAGCAAATACAAAGAAGCTGAGATACGGGCAAGATTGGAGCTGTCTAGTATTGCTAGAAACCAGTGTGAGTAAAGTGGGGTGAAGGGTAGGAAAATGATAAGACATGATATCACTTAACTACTGTATGTTTGAGTGAGTAACATTAACCATTTCAAAACATATACTGCTAAGAAAAATGAATAGCATTATTAACTTCAGTGTGATTTTTGAAACAACATGTGAAGAGTTGGTACTCAAATGATTAAGGTAAAAATGACAATTCATCTCTTCTTTTATTCTAATAAGGCTATTTAGTTTTAAAAACTTTCACATGCTTATGCTTTTTCTTTCCAAATCACTCAATAATGAATGAAGCATTAATTTATTAAGCTGTTATAATTATTTAGCTCTGAATAAAATGCGCCAACAAAAGCATGTACTTCATTAAATAAACTTCATTTAAAATCATTATTATATTTTTTTCTGCATTTTAGGCGATTGGGTTATTCTTTAACTAAAGAAATAAGTAACATTATATAAATGTCCTATTATCCCAAATGGCCATTAACATTTGAGTTATTGCATGGAGCAGATGTAAGAAAGATGAAATAACCTTTTGAAGATTCTATATCATTAAAAGGTGAAACCTAAAAAAAATTTTGCCCTCTTAACAACTTTCTTGAATGCACTCTTGACGTCTTTGTTTCTCAGGCTGTAGATCACAGGGTTCAGCATGGGGATGAGCATAGTATAGAACACAGATGCAACTTTGTCTGTGTCCATGGAATGACTGGAACTTGGCTGTAAGTACATGATGATGACAGTCCCATAAAATATGGAAACAGTAACAAGATGAGAAACACAGGTGGATAAAGCCTTCTTATATCCCCCTCTTGAGTGTATCTTCAGAATGGTAATAAATATGAACAAGTAGGAAATCAAGATAACAAAAAGTGCAAGAAAGACATTAAAGCTTGAGATAAGAAGAAGAATCAGCTCATTGATGTGTTTATCAGAGCAAGTCAAAGTCATGACGGCTGGAACATCACAGAAAAAGTGATGGATCACATTGGAAACACAAAAAGAGAGACGGAATGTGTCTCCAGTGTTAATAGAAGCATTCAGAAAACCAAAAACATAGGAGCCTATGGCCATGTGAGCACACACACTCGTTGTCATGGTTGTGGTGTAATAAAGGGGTTTGCACACTGCTGCATAGCGATCATAAGCCATTGAGGCCAAGAGGTAACTTTCCACAGTGGCAAAGACTATGAAAAAGAACATCTGAGTGGCACATGCATTGTAGGAGATGACCTTGTCTCCTATTAGAAACCCAGCCATGACCTTCGGAGTGACTGTTGAGGAGTAACCAAAATCCACCAGAGACAGGTTACTGAGGAAAAAGTACATGGGAGTGTGGAGACGAGAGTCCAGAAGAATCAATACGATCATCCCCAGATTCCCAATCAAAGTGATGAGATAGATGAGGGTGAACATGATAAAGAGAGGAATCTGCAGTTCTGGAGCATTAGTGAGTCCCAGCAGGATGAATTCTTTCACCTCTGTATTATTCTCCATGGATGTGATTTGAGAATCACAAGATGCTCTGTAGCAAAGAAAAAGAACACATTGATTAACAAAAACCAGGGGCATAGAAATTCAAATGTACAAGCATTCTTTCAGTAGAAGAACTTGTTCTTCCGTTTCTAAAGCATGAGCATAACAACACATTTAGTGATAATTTATCTATACACTTACAGACTTTTCAGATCATCTTCCCAACTTCTCGATTTTGTATATGACTAGACTGAGTTGCAGGAAGGGCTAATGAATTGTTCAAGTTCACATGCTTAGAATGAATGCATCTCCTAAATTGGATCTTTTGAGTCTTCTAACAGCTTACATTTGCACTATAGTACTCACATGCCAGGTGCTTTACATGTATATATTCATTTAATCCTCTCATCAATCCATTAGATTGATTAGTTATTCTTCCCATTTACACATCTGGTAACTTGGCAACAGAGAGAATGAGTAATTTATTTAATTTACACAGGTATTAATGGACAAAGTCAAGCTTTGGACCCAATAAGAGAGGTTCTCAACTTAGTGCAGTTAATGAATTTGAATTAATTTTAATTTCATTCGATTTACATTTAATTGTTTCTATTGTACCAAACTTAATTCATAGAGTAGCATAGTTGAGTAATTCGCAAGTAAATGCAGAGTAGTTGCTGTGGTCTAAAGGCAGCATTAGAGGCATGTACATCCAACGAGGCCATTCTGAGAAGGTGTAGCATTGGACGTGAAAGCTTTGACTCTGAGAAAACATGTCTATTCATTCACATACCAGCCCTACCACTCACTACCTGGGAGACATCGGTCCTAACTTATGTTAAATGAAAAAATCTTTAACTTCCACAGCCGAAAATCTTTTTGTAAGTAAGGTTTCATTGAGCCAAAAATGGTAGCCAAAAAAAGAAAAAAAAGACTGGTCTTGGGGCATAGAGTCTCAATGACCAGGAGCATGGCTAGGTAAAAAAGACAGCATGTCCATCGTCACAGAGTTTTGTAAGCATTTTTTATACATCAAGTAGGAGGAAGGGAGAAGAAAGAAGTAGTCTGAAAGAATTAACATTAGCTATAGGCAAAGGAGTGGGGGAAGGTAAGACAGGCCTAGTCCTGGGACAGGCAACACATTCACATAAAGAAATGTTTGCTCCTGTGGATTGACTGTGGGCAGCAGTCTAGAAAGCCCACATGTAAACCACAAGCAGAGGCTCTTGGAGGTAGGTGGTGCCTGGTTAAAATAAATAGCCACCTGGAAATTAACCCCAAACTCCAACTGGCAATGAATGGGGGAAATGAGAGCAGTTGTTTAGTAGCTGACCAGCAGCCGTGAACAGACTAACGGTTCTGTCTCTCTCACTCTCTGGCCACTGTAATTTAATTTAGAACATCTCAGAATTTCCTCCGTGTCACTTAACTTCACTCATCATATCTATCAGAGAAATGAAGGTGGCATTGGGACCTACCTCAAAAGATTATTGTAAGAGTTAAAAAAATAATGCATGGAAATAGCACAATGTGGGTGTTAAACATGATACTGATGAGTACTTACTATAATATAATTATTAGCATAGAACCGTGGTCCCTAGGTTGGTTTAGAAAAGTCAGGTGACAGATGCAGGCGGGTGGGTTTTGAAGTCTGGTAGCCCTAGTCTTTGAATTACCTTTTCCTACATTCTGCCCACTCAGATATTTTTATACCCCACCCCATGTCCTGTATTTCTCACTCTCTTCTCATGGCTGTGTCAGTCATTTTGCATGATAATATGGGAATCTTCATGTTCTCTGTTTTGGGGGAGGAGGTATTTTTATTTTATTTTATTAGTTTCAAGTATACAGTTAGTTTCATATATATTAGTTAGACAATTACATAGCTTATAAAACATTGCCCCTAATTGTTCTTTCTCTCCTCTGGCTCTCCATCTAGCCATTACATTAATGCTAACTGCATTCCCTACGCTGTGCTTTCTCTAGAGATCCACATTTTAGCTTATGTTGAAGTATTCCCCTTCTATCTTACATTCATTCTTACTGTCATTCCTATCAACACTTAGCTGGATCACAGATATCGAGTAAATGAGGGGTGAAAATTCATGGTTTGTGAGTTGATACTAATCTGTAGATCTATTCATGAGAAAGTACAAATCTTTGTATTTTCAGGTGAAACCATTTGAAAGGTATCCATTCTTTGGTAACCACTATTCTCTATATTTCTCCTGGCCCCTAAACACATTATTTTACATGTCTGCACCTTAAATTATTTACATGTCAACACCTCATCCACACAATAATATATTATTAAGATATCACATATATATTAATTGATATCGGTAGATCTCCTGAGGCTAGTAACAGCTTAAACTTATTGATTGTGTGTAGTTTGTCTCATAGATGGATAGATTTATAGATACTAGATGATACTGATGAGGATGATGATAGCTATAGATAGCTAGATGATAGCTAGATGATAAATGATAGATTATAGATTAGATAAATAGATGATAGATTATAGATTAAATAGATAGATTAGATAGATAGATGATATATAGATAGATAATAGATAGAAATAACAGAAGAGGAAAGGATGAGAAAGTGTATACACACACACACACACACATACATATAAGTTAATTCACAGTTAAGAAAATGAAGAATTTGAGAGATTATGTAGCTTTTAAAAATTCTTTACCCAGTACAAGATATTTAAGATACAAATCCACATCTAATTGAACCCAATGCCTGTGACTTTAATCACTGCATTGTCAGATTTTTTAGATGATGAAGTAATAAAAGGGTGAGATTATGGGGGAAATGATAGTGAAAATAGAGTAAGGATCTTGGTAGCTTCATGATGATCCTTCTGGAATCTAAAGAAGTGTCATTTCACTTTGTGTGGTTAGCTATCCCTTCAATGACAAGTCAACACATAGTGAACAAGAGGAATTTAACAGCTACTCAATCAGAGTATCATCATCTATCATAGGTTTTTTGCTATCGTCCTAAGGAAAACAGTATGGAATTTCATAAATATCACTCTGTTCCCTGCTTATTAAAATATTTTGCATTTGAATCCTATACTTATACTTTTTCAGAAAAAGCATTCAAACAACCAGATATGAGCTCAGGAACTCATAGAAGATAGACTTCCCCACTGCATCTGCATCAATTCCATTTTTCACTATACGTATATATTGAATATAGAAGCTTACCTTGTTCTTGAAAAGAAGGGAAAGACAATCCTGTATATTGTGAGTCTAATATCAGAAACTCAGCGCTAGAAGACTGTATAAATAATGTAGGAGGGATTCTCTCACCTGTATTAATCAAAAGGTTCCAAGTTCCTTGAAGCATAAAGAGGTGGAGAAAAAAAATTATAACGTGGAGCTAGGAAGCCTGGCTTTAAATATTGCATCTACTTGGATTGTCCTGTGTACTCAGAAATTTTTATTGTCTGTCGACGTCAGTTTCCTTATTTGTAATATAGAGATAATAAAATAATATTGTCTACATATTTTACAGAATTATATCTGTAAATAACAAATAAGAGTATATCTATAAAAGAACTTAGTAAGGGTTTAACTCTTAGACATGAATCCATTTAATTTTTATCTTAAGGTTGTAGACTCTCTACAAGTTCTCAATTTGGGGAGAAAATAATGTATACTAAAACTGTTAGCATTCACTTCAATGAATAGAGAACAAGTGGGCTCAGAGCTCAGAGAAGACTCAGAGCCTGGTCCTTTTAAAATAATGTCATGCAGAATCATCATGAAACTTCAGGGCCTAATGAATGAAAACAAGAAGAAAATTGTACTAGGCGTGAAACTCTCAGGAGAACAGGGTTCAGTGAGGATAATCACTTCTCATTCCACCTACATAGCGATTCAACTGTGTGCAGGGACATAATTTGATATGCTGAGATGCACATGTGTTCATTTTGGGTCTTGCTATCTTTTATTTTTGCTCCTATTTAAAGAATTAAGGTAACTTTTACATACATCAAGAGGGATTTTGATTAAATAGTTTATGTTTATTATAATTTTTGATACTCCAAATATTTCTAAAAATTGATTTTGTCTTTTATCTGCCATATTTTTTATTATGTTTCCTCTTTCCCATTCTTTTAGGTGTTATAACTAAATGTTAGGGCACTAGGAATTTTAAGAAATTGATAAATAATATTCATTTTTTCCCTCCTGGGTTTACAAAGAACAGACAAATATGACATGTGAGTCAGAGAGATGGAGATTAAATTCTACCTTAATTCTGATGAGTCAATTTGAAGCTTTGGTTCAGATCTGTAAGCAGATGGGTTTCTTTTCTCCTCCAAATTACCCTCCTGTAGCCAATGCTGATGATGCTCTGCTCACCTCCCCTTGGCCCTCATTGTCCCTGTATATACCAATGCTTATTACATATATATAAAAAAAGGTTCTGCAACTGCTAGACTGAAGGTTTATTTTACTGTAAGAATATGCTTAGCCCTTGCATGGGCCATCTAATTTATTTGGAAGCAGCCATCATTAAATATAATAAGAAAAAGAATGAAAAACACCCAGATTCCTCATCTTTCAGGTGGTACAAATCTGAGTCATGTTTTGTATACATTGTTTCCAGTAGGTTGAGCTTTGGACTGCACAGATAAGTGTAACTGATTAGCAACTTAGATAGATGTGGCCTTGAGAACATTGCTGCTGATCCTTGAATCTCAGTTCCATGTTCTGCAAAAACCAAGTTCATATAATTCCCAATATACTTACTTCACAAAGCTATAAAGATTAAATTTAAACATAAACAAAAACCTTCTAATACAATGTCCGATTCAAGAAAATCATTCAGCTTCAGTTCCCTTCCTATTCTTCTCATTCTCCTTTAGCTGTTTCTCTACCTATGCCAAACTTTAGAACAATTATAATAAAAACGTGTATGTGTTCACAATTGAAAAATAATGTTTGCCTACCTCCAACTCTCAAGTCATAGCCTGAATCACTTTAATTTAATGCACTCACTTAAGCAAGGGTACTGAATCACACTTGTGTTCGGGCAATACATTCGTTACTATTATTAAAATGTAAATAACATGAGTCTTTAATTATTATGTGGATAGAGATAGTAAGATCTACAAATCATCATTCAAATAGTGGTACATACTACAGTCAAATAGCGATAGTGTTATTAAATCACCTTTAAAGTTTTCAGAATGTACCAGAAGTTTCTTCCTTTTGTGGGTTTCCATATTGGGCCCAAACAAATAAACATGTGCATCTCATTACATCTACTTTTGAAAATAGTTAATTTCCACATTTCCCTGATATGTGACAAGTGGTTAACACATTATCCAAAATCTCTTACATAAAGCATAAGTATAAAGCAACACATGTGTCTTTTTTACATAAGTATAAAGCAACACATGTGTCTTTTTGATGAAGAAATTTAGAAGTATAAGAGTATGAATAGTATTGTGCTACAAAATGTAAGACCAATTTCAATCCTATTTCTCTTGATAACTAGTTGCGACTAGACTTGTCATGGCCTGATTTTCTTAATTCACAGATGAAAAACCCTCTCCATTTACCTTATGTTCTATATGATATGCTAATGAATGTGAAGTTTCTTTGGAAAGCACAAAAGATACTAATAGTTTAAAATCAAGCAATCTGAGCCTTTACTTTCTGACGTTTACCTCATCTCTTCTCGGTTATTGTTCCAGAATTTTCATCTGATTGCTTACAATTTTTGTAATTCTATTAATATTTTCGCTTTTTTGAGACCTCATTCTGATTTCTTGTAGTTCTTTGTCCAAGATTTCATTTAGCTCATTGAGCATATTTAAGAAATTTGTCTTAAAAGTGATGAAAAATATAAAATACTGATGAATTAAATCTTTAAAAATTATTTATTTATTTATTTATTTATTTATTTATTTATTTATTTATTTTAAATTAAGTTTATTGGGGTAACATTGGTTAATACAATCATATAATTTTCAGGTGTACATTATCATCTGATATCTGTATATTCTACTGTGTGTTCACCACCCAAAGTCCAGTTTCCTTCAACTACCATATATTTGATCCCCTTTACCCACTTCACCCTCCCCGTACCCACCTGTATTTGTCCCACTTTACCCCATCTACCTCCCCTCTCCTCCTCTACCCTATTAGTAACCAAGACTCTATAGTCTTCTGGTAACCACTAGTCTATTGTCCATGTCCATTAGTCTTTGTTTGTTTGTCCTGCTCATTTGTTGCTTTTAGGTTTATATCCCACATATAAGTGATATCATGTCATTTTCAACTTTTTCTGTCTGGCTTATTTAGCTTAGCATGATTATCTCGAGGTCCATCCGTGTTGTCACAAATGGTAGTATTTCATCTCTTCTTACGGCTGAGTAATATTCCATTGTATAAATGTACCGCAGCTTCTTTAGCCAATCTATCGCAGGACACTTCGGTTGCTTCCATTTCCTGGCCACTGTGAATAATGCTGCTATGAACATTGGTGTACAAATATCTTTATGGATATGAGTTTTCAAGTCTTCGAGGTAAATACCCAGTAGAGGGATTGCTGGATCATATGGTAGATCAATTCTTAGTTTTCTGAGGAAACTCCATACTGTTTTCCATAGTGGCTGTACCAATTTGCAATCCCACCAGCAGTGTATGAGGGTTCCTATTTCTTCACATGAATTAAATTTTTAAAAAACGAGTGTAAGGATATATTAATGAATTGGGAGATTTAAAGCTGACATCTTGCAGGCTCCATGTGATCACAATTGAAACCCGAATAAGCCTTTTTATTTTGTGAGGGAATATTGACATGCTGATTATAAATTTATATGTAATGTCAAAACTAGTAAGTAGGCAAAATAATTATGAAAAAGAAAAACAAAGTATGGGCATGAAAATGATCTCATATCATGAGTTACTATGACATGTAGTAATCAAGATGTTGTGGCATTAGGAAAAGATATACCCATAAATCAATGTCGCACATTATAGCATCCAGAAATGACCCACAGATATACAAGCAACTAATTTTTGTGAAAGTTGCAAAAGCAAGTGAATGGAGAAAATATATTCTTTTCAGCAAATTTTGCTGCAACAGTTGTCAGTTAATATGCAAAAAAAAAAAAATAGAGTTAAATGTTAAATGTAAACTGAAATCACATGTTCCCCATAAAACTCTGCAAAATTTTTTAAAGTTTTATTGAGATTAAGAATTGCCAAACTGGGAGCAACCAGATGAATTTCTGGAAGTGAATGGTTAAACAAACCACAGTACATCATTAAACTGGAAGACTGTTCAGTGATAAAGTAGAATAATGTTGATTGATGCAACAATATGGAAGAATCTAAAGTGAATTTTAAAATGAAAGAAGCGAGACCTAAAGGCTCCATCTTGTGTGCTTCCATTTATATAACAAAGAGATGGGAAAAAAGCTCAGTGATTCCCAAGGGTTGAAGGAGTCGGGAGTGGTTGTCTCTGAAAGGGATGGAAAGGGAAATTTTAGGATGATGCACATAATCTCCACCGTACTGGGCTGATAAACGCACGACTGTGCATTCATTCAAACCCATAGAACTATGCACAGTAGAGAGTGAAGTTTAATATATACAAATTAAAAACTATCAGCCAGGAGCACAAGAGTAAACACAGACTGTTTTTTAAAAAAAAAATCTAATTGCACTACAAATGTATGATTTAACCTCACCGAAGGGAAATAGGGAAGAAAAATGAGCTGAACTAAGTAATTTTGGAAAATAATGTATTAATGAGAAACTGCAAGGCTAAAAATTAAAGAAACTACAAAAATACTGTACGTTAGTTACTAAAGTTGTTTATCATGGAGGTGTCGATGAACAATTATGGAACTGCTTTACTTATAAAAAGTCACACAAATAAATTAATGAATGAGATTTGTCTCTCACTGTCAGAGATAGAAGTTGCAGATACAAAGGGGGAACATTGAGATGAAATAGATTAGAGTCGGAGACATCAGTATGCACTCATATTTAGTTTAATATAGGTATGATGGGTAGGTAGAGAATAAGTATAATTATGAATGTATACAGACCACACGGGTACATACCTCCTACCTCTGTGCACAAAAGGCCTAGAAGTAAACTCCATGATGAGCAAGCGCAATCAGGATTTAAACCTTGGCTTTTTAATAAAAGAAGTAGGGTTCTTTGTAGAAATAGTTGATTCTGTGACAGGAGTAAGGACAGTACAAGCCCAGAATATTATGTAGTAACATAAAGTGAGGAAGTGCTCAAAATGAAAACAAAAGAATGAAGCTATGACAGAGGGACATGCGAGCAAACTGAAGGAGTTGTGAATGGTGAAGGTGGACAATTTAAAGAAAAAAATAAATAACTTAGTATTGGTTATTACTCATAATATAAAATAAATGTAAAAAAAACCAAACAAACAAATTTTGCTAACAGAACTCCAAGTAAATTATTGAAATACTGTCCAGTCCAGGAAGTGGAGCTTAGTTCTCCGACACTGGAGTGTGAGCTGGACGTAATGACTTATTTCTAAAGAACAGAGTATAGAAAAAAGGGGTGTGTGTGCGAGTAACTTTACAAAGTAGAAAACTTGCAAAACGTACCTTGGACTTGTGATCAAGGTTAACATCATCAGTG